AAAAGGAAAAAGAGGTGTTGCTATAGTCAATATGGGTTGAAGTTTAATAAGGGACGGGATATATAAGGTTGCCATTCCTGGTTACCCTAAACCAACACATGATACAACCGACACCTCACCCCCTCTTCATCCTCCAGCCTCCATCTTCTTCTCCCTCGTCTTGCTGCCATATCCCTTCTCCTTCATGTTGGTCCGATCAACCAAGGTCGCTGACGGACCGTTGCTGTGCTTGAAGACGGAGGACCGCCACCCATCATTGATCCAGTCGCGAGAGTCGGAGGCGAGCGACCATGGACTTTGTGGTGGTTTGTGGGTAGGTCGCACGCAACCTCCTTTCTCCATCCTTCTGTTGCCGCTCCTCGGAAATGTTCGTCATCGCCATCACCACCAAGAGCGCTGATGGTTGGTGCTGTTGTTGCTCATGAATCGTGGTACATTGTCGCCACTGTAGAAGATCAAAAACGAGTTTAGGTCCATTGTTGTGGTCGTGGGAGGAGCAGGTCAGATCGATTGGGTTGAGACTCGATATTGTCGTTTGCCACCTACCGACCATCATCTGTGTCGCCGATAGCCGCCTCCTCGTGTCACTACCGTTGCCTCACGCCACCAGGTGGGTGGCCGGATTCCCTTCGCGAACAAGACAATATGTATGTGTTATTAGTGAGTGTATATGTGTTTATTAGTGTGTTTGTGTGTGTTGGTTAATTGGGGTTTAGCATTGTAATTGTAAAAAAAATAGGAATAATGAAAAGAAGATCCATCACCACCACCAGTCGCCGTGTTGGGTGGCGGTGTGCTTTGATTGAGTTTAGACCTTGTTTGGGGATTTTTGGACAATGTGGGATCAATGAAATCCTAATGGGCCCAAAGAAACCCTAGTGGACCCAATAGAAACCTAATGGGCCAATAAGGCCCGAAGTGACCTAAAAGCCCAACCAATTGCTTAATGGGCTATGATTGGGTAGGAAAACCCTAATTTGTGGAAATTGATCGGGACACACACACAAGGGTTTAAAACTGGTTTTGACAAAATCGGATCGGATCGGATTTGAATAGTGAAACCGGTTTTTGTGTGCATCTCTAGGGACTTCAGTAGTGACATGTGAGTTTTCCTCACTATACTCAAGGGCTTAAGGCACCAAGGCCGGCCCTTTGGATTGTTATCTGGTTATGTTATGCTAGTATGATCTGTTAGATTGGTATCTTAGAGGGTAGGATAATATTATATGATATGTGGTATGATTTGTTAGATCGGCATCCTGGTAGATAGGATGGTGTTATGTGCTATGTGGTATGATCCGTTAGATCAAATATTGCCTATAGAATGTTATGTGATTATATGTTATATGCACATATTTGTTTGGCGGTTGAGACTTATCTGCTTTGTGTGAAAGCCAATAGACCTAGGCATTCCATCCTGTTGGTTGTGGGCGGTGAATATTCCATCCCGAGGATGATTGGACTTATAGTATGTGGGCATTCCAACCTATTGTTTGTGGGCCTGGGGTATTCCAACCTGATGGTTGATTAGACCCATAGTATGTTTGCATTCCAACCTGTTGGTTGTGGGCCTGGGTTATTCTATCCTAAGGATGAGTGGACCCATAGTATGTTGGCATTCCAACCTGTTGGCTGTGGGCCGGGGGTATTCCAACTCGATGGTTGACTAGACCCTTAGTATGTTGTTTATGATTATTTGTGTATTGTTGTGGGTATGATTATTTTTAGGGAACTCACTAAGCTTCGTGCTTACGGTTTCAGTTTATTGTTTCAGGTGCTCCAGATGTCTTGGCAAGGCGAAGGCGTGACCGTGCATATCCTCGTTTTTTGGTCTTATGGGTTCTGGGATACTTTGATAATAAACTATTTTGTAATGACTTTTGGATGTTTGAAAAAGTTTTAAATTGGCTTGATTTTTATGGGTGTTACACTTCTTCTTTGGTATTCAAACCAATTTACTGACCTTCTAACCTTCTGAATATCGACTTCTGGAAAACTTCTTTCACCAGCCAACCCTCATATTCGTAGAGATCATGAATATTTATAGTTGTCATAAAATTGCCTTCCACGTCATGGAATAGTGCTCCACATTGTGGTCCTAGACGAATCCTTATCGGGCAAGGATTTCAACTTTGCGCGTACTCATCTTCCAGAATTTTCCTTTTCCACATCGTGTAAGTCATATCCATGACATGGACACAACTATTTTCGTGTGTTTTATCTTCTTTAATCTTCTTAGTCTCCAAGTTTTTCTTTTTTCCATTTTTAGTCCTTATTCTTCAAAATGACTTATTTTAGCTGCAAAATACAATTTAATCTTATGACCACTAATCATTATTCTAAATGAATAAAACATAATTTGTGATATAATTCTTAACAAAATTATCAAAATTAGTCAAAATCTGACCTTCTTTTGGTAGACTTTGGTATTTTAATCCTTGTCCACTATTTTCATTTCCATTTCCACTCCCGCTTCAAGTAGCACCATCAGTTAATTTCACACAATAATCAAACATCCTATGTGACAACCTGAAATTTCCGTTCTTAACAAACCATATCAAGCCAATAGAAGTTAGAATAGTTACAGTGAAATTCCAGACTGTGGGTATAAGTTTAAGTATTTCAGGTTTAGCACTTAAGGAGATATCAGGAGAGTGGATGCACTAGGGTTTTGTGCAACACTGTTATTTCAATACTCTATGATATTAGAGTTCATTCCAGGAATAAAATATTTTCTGCCAAAAATCTCAGGACTATATATTGAAATCTAAACCATATTCATTCATTAGTTGCATTTCCAACTAGAGAAAAGCCGAATTTTCTCTCACAGATCTTCGGGTTTTATCCCAAATCGTGAGTACTTCTATCTAGTTATATTATATACCTTAGATTGTGTTTTATAACATCAAAATCGGATCAAAACCCCAAGATTTGGGAGTTTACCGCCCAAGAACACTTAGAGAGTAAACTCCTTTTTAAGGGACAAAAGAGTGCCCAATGTCCCTCTAAGCCTTGGAACTTAACCTAGGAACTACCATTACATGTTTTAGACCACAAAACAATTAAGAATCAAGGGTGAAAGTGAGTTCACGGCCAAGGAAGTTCTTGGGCCGTGAACTCCATATTTATGTGCCAAAATGCCCTAAAAACCTTCCTTA